GTTTTACAAGATTTCTTGTTTATAACTAGAGATAAAAAACACCGTTTTCACATTATATCTTTAGTTTCATAAAACAGTAGCATAGTTATTTGAAAACCGCATCTTTGTATCTCTATATTCATAAACTAGAAAACCCACAAAACACACGAAAATGGGACATCCTCTATATTTATACAGTGTGCTCATATCAATCTTATTTTAACCGACATTCAAAATAATGGCCCTTTATGATTTTTTTCTTATTCCACACATTGTATATCAAAACTACCATCTCCTTTGACATACCAAAAAAACATCATAACTTCCAAATAGTAATGCTAAAGATTAGGTAAAGAGTAATATTATAAAATGTCCTATGTCACAGTTTAGTGTAAGTCTTTAGTTAATATTCGGTGGTACAGATCACAAGAATATATTGTGATACAGATAGTTATAGACCCATAGCACAGAATATATAGCTATACGCTTATATATTCTGTGCCCATAGTATTAAGCTCCATAATTTGCTATTGACTGCTACCATAGTTTGATTGACATTATCAGATCATTGACACTCCAAATGTCGGTTATTGGGCGAAATATCAAAAGGAATAAGTATCACTGACAGAATTTTTGCTCGTTCCAAAATGGTTAATCCCGTTTATGTCGTTGAAAATTTTCATTTTCTTTCAATTTTAGAGATAATTAAAAAAAACACATGAAAGTATGGTTAAATTTTTACCCAAGTCCTAAAAATCAAAAGGCGTTCCTATGTTAATATAATTTCAATTTTATTCTTTGATAGGTGGTTATTATTTATTTTGATTAACGTCATATTTTTAGCCGACCATACCAATAGGTATGGTAGGCTATTAAGATCGGCAAAAAAAAAGTTTTTTAATTTCACGCAAAATGAGTTATTTTTTAATGACCTAAATACAAAATATTTTCATGGTGTCTGTCTGTCTGTCCGTCTGTAACACGATAACTGAAAAACCGCTAAACCGATTTTAACCAAATTTGGCACAAAAATACTGTGGCATCCGAGAATCTGGCCATTAGTGTTTAGTGGGGGTGGGGGGTTGGTAAGGAGGTATGGGAGGAGGTTAAAAATTTTAAAAAATCGTAAATCCAAAACTACAGTAGCTAGCGAAAGGCGGTTTTCAATTTAAGATTAGGAATAATATTTGCAACAAAATTTGTAATAACATCAAAATCAATCGCTGTTTTTGGGATAAAAGAAATTGGAAAAATTCCTTTACTTTGAAACTAAAAGAACTGCCTACCAACTTTTTATTAACATATTTGGTATGGGTGGCTATACGTGCCTCCCGGCGCTAATTTTTTTCTGTTGTTAAAGTATTACTTTTAACGGTAACTATCACCCTTCCCGCAGCATTGAACGAAATAATAATTGACAATATAAAAAAAGTCATTTTAACGCCTAGGCATAAAAGTAAAGCACTTTTACGCCTAAGTATAAAAGTACGAAAAAATATATTATTAAACTGTATATACTATAATATATTACTAAACGTTAATTAAAATTCTATCAATAACAATCTATAAAAGAATGAAAACGAAATTATATTATCATAGAAACGCGTTTTCATTTTTAGCAAAAAAAATAAATAATAAAGTTCAACTATATTTCAAAGTTTTTCTTAATTTGCTCTAAAACGGTATGGAAATTTGAAAAAGTATAACAGGTTTAACCACTTATTTTTATTAACCAAATTTTTATGAAGAACGCAATTTTCTCAAAATGTCAATTTTAAAAAAGTGTTTCTATGTCTCTTCTTGTAAAGACAATCCGGGGACATAGGTACTGGGGGACATAGGTACTGTATGCTATAAATGCAGTGTGCTGTGAAGAATGTGATTGTGCGGGTGAAGTAAATAGATATCTACATATTTAACAATAATCCTCTACGGTCTATATAAAATAATATACACTGTTACGTCACTACTTTGTATATACAGAGTGATCCATTTTTTTGTAACACGACAGCAAATTGATAGAAAACCACTACCTACGTCATAGTTAGCATATGAAATGAAAATTGATGATAATTTCTCCCGAGCCAACGAACGTCTTTGTATCATTTATTAAAAATTGACGAAGATTTGACCAAACTTAATGCTTAATTAAAAAAAAACTAAATGTTTTTAGACACAAATTTATTTCAAAAAAAATGTTACTAAATAGATTTGCGGGTTAAACGTTTGGCGAATCTAGAAATTGTTGACAAAACTGACATAACTGAATTGAAAAAAATTACTTTGGTCTTATCTATCTACGTGACATTTTTTGGGAGAAACATATTTAATATTTCTGAAAATTTATTTTAACAAAATTTTAGGGGTAGTTTTTAAACGAAGAATTATAGTACTAAATTATTTTTTTATCGCATATTAAAGTTCTGTTATAAAGAAATGAGCCACCCTGTACATAAAAAACGTCTTCAGAATGGCCGATTTTATCCTATTACTACGATATTATTATACTTTTAATCCAAAGAATGATGAGCTTTTTTACCATTCTGCATTATCTATAAAGTCTGATTAAATCTACTCTAATACTCAACATCAATTCTACGGGGGTATGTAAATAACTTCTATGAAAAAGCGAATACCGTACAAGTCCAAAATAATCATACCTAATTGTTGCTGACTGCGGGAGAAGTC